CCAAATGGAGATTAGGGACAAGGGGCAGGATGCCTTTGGGGTAGCCCCCCCCCCCCCCCGCCTCCCCAAATGGAGATTAGGGACAAGGGGCAGGATGCCTTTGGGGTGGGAACCCCCCCCCCCCGCCTTAATCACGTTGCTGGTTGCCATGAAAATGGAGGTGAGTTTCTCCTGCCCTGCCAGCCACCCCTTCGCCACGCAGTTCATAGGGGAAGGGGCACATCCGTATGAATATGGGCCCTATGGAAGACAGTGGCTCTGCTTCCCTGTGGAGAGGATCGGTTTAGACTACCTCATGGCGGCTAACATTTCAACCCATAATGGCCTACACTGATGTTTGTTGCAAATGATTGTTGTAATATTGAACTCCTAACAACAGAAACAAAAGATAAGACAATAAAAAAGCACCAACTCATGGAAGGCATTTATTCTTCTGAATTTGGGAAGTGAGCAGTGGAAGAGTTCAGGAATGATGCCTCTGCTAGCATCTTCACACATCTGGCACCCCACTGCTAGGCCGCCTACTTGCCATCTCTCCAGGGGCCTGGGGGAGCAGGAGAAGGCCCACCTCAGCAGAAAGGAAGGTCTTCGCTGTATCTTCACTGGCTATTAGGGCTCTTTCTGGTGGGCTCTGACTGCCTGAAACCATGTGAGAGAGTGGCTTGCCAAGCTTAGACTTCTTCCTGTAAGTTAGCCAGGCAGGAGAGAAAGCTCAAGAGAAACTCTGCATGCCTTGGCTCTCTGCACATGGAAATTGGGCAGGGGTGATTGCTGAGAGAGAACCGTCCCAAGAGTTCACCTCCCATCCCGTGGGGGCCACTTCCCACCTTCTACTTTCATGCTTTTGGAATAAAACCAGACAACCTATGACCCGTTGGGTCATCATTTCAGAGATATTTCCTGACCTAAACAGAGAAAAAGAATGACCACGGTCAGGCAAAACAGCAGTGGGAGTGGGAGCAACGTCCGACTTCCTACCGGCTTCCCCACTGACTTTCCTTGTGGGAAGCTGACAGGGAGTGTCAGAAATCCTTCCTTCCTTCCTTCCTTCCTTCCTTCCTTCCTTCCTTCCTT